TCACCTCTGAACATTTCCATGACCGTAATAGGTACGTGCTGATGCAGGGCCGTTAGTTTCGCAATCTCTGCACCGCGTAGCTCGGTTTTGTCACGATGCTCGTATTGTGGTGCGCCACCGGGCCGGGACAAGGACCCTGACTTATGCTAGACGCGCAGACATTGCGCATCCTTCAGCAGGTTATCAAGTGACTGCGCAGCGTTCTAGTCTCACCTACTTGTGCATAAATTTGACACGGGTGGACATCGGGAAACTCGGGGACAGTCGACATACCGCACCGGTCGGTGCCCGTCGCTTACAGCCCTGGCACGAGTGGGTACGTAGCGCGGCACCTAGACCCCTGGCCCTGGCACGATTGGGTACGGAGGGGTCGGCAGTTATAACGCGAGCAATGCTGTGCGCCAGATGATCGACTTTTATAAATTATATTATTTAGGATTTACTGTTGAATGGTGCTGCCAGTTTTGGGGAAGTGATTGCTTAGATGTTAAAGAAACAACAATTTTTAATGTAGAATAACTCGTTATGTCAATCAACTGATTGATTGTTTATATTTGGCTTATGGTTTTCATCAACTCTAGCTGGGCTGGGGAAAGGGGTGTTTGGACACCCCTTAGGTTTTTCGCCTATGCCTATCTGAACAAACCGGTGTGACGTAGGGTTATGTATAGATGTTTAGTGCCGTTCATAGAAGCTAAGTGAGACTGAAGAGTCATGTCTTAATAGTTAATCTTTTTAAATTTAAGTTTTAGTTAATTTTAAACCTATGTGTGCCCCATCGAAGACTTTTCAATACAAGTCGGAGTACCGGGACCAATAATAACTTTTACCCACTACCCAGTGGAAGTCCGTTAAAACAATTTCAAATATGTTCATAGAAGCGTTAAACAACTTTTTTAAGTTGACCAGTTCATTTCAGGTCAAGTTGCAAGGTCACTTGATGTGACCCCGTCCCCACCTTCGTAAAAAAGTTTGAGAAGATACCATTATTACAGTTTGCACGCAATCAATTCCAAACTTTTTAAAAATGACGAGAACAGGATTGTCTAAAATTCATTTTGCTCGGTTTTTCCTATGTAAGTTCTGATAGGTACTGGCTACCGGGACCTCTCCCTTATAAGTCAATAGAAAACTGGGCAAATAATTCCTCCAGGGTGCACATAAAATCGCTCCTATTCTTTCAATATCATGCTTCCTTAGGCAATCGTTGACGTTATGGGTGTTGTTTTTGCCCGATTTAATTCCTTCTGAAAGATTATCAAAAGCCATCCGAGGTCGCAAACTGTTTTAACTCGTTGAATATTGGAAATGAAAAAGCAAAACTGGACTGGTATCATTGTGTTTGTTTCGTCAAGACGTATCGACTCATATGAAACAATCAACACCACCTAGTGAGGTCATCACGTAACCTTGACCTGAGGTCATATTTTGAAATTGACCTTTCAAGGTAAGCATGTATGTATTTCGAACTGGCTTGACGCGAGAAACACGATTGTGGCAAAATTATTTTCCTATCCCGACTAGGAAAAAAAATATTCGTTAGGTACATTTTTTACTTTGATAGCCTCTGGAGCCTAAAGTGTTGACAGGCCGCATCTGATGACACCTTATTAATGGAAAATTGAGCAACCTCTCCGGTTCTTTTCATATTTTTTTTCGCTATTTTAGTTTTCGAGGTTTCGAGGTTTCTCGAGGATAATCGAGGTTTTCGAAGTCATGTTGTTATGCTCGAAGTATGTTAACTTTTCCCTTTTTTACCTCGGGTGACCTCAAATTTGGCCTGAGGAAAAATCACGGAAATGTTTCTTATTGATCTTTTTATGAGATTTCGAACGCTTCTTATCTTTTTCTTCTACGTGCAATGTGCATTATTAACTGATTTAGAGAGGTGCTCATTTTCAATTATATGTAATGGTCAATGGTCTGATAATTTGCGAATTAGTGAGCGTTATAGGTACGCATGTAAGGATTCAGAGATGTCATAGTAGCCGTTGGGGATGGGGGGAGGGCTCTTCAAAACTCTCCAAGTTGTGTAAACTGGGGGTTCGTTTCCGTTTGCGTTGCCGCAGAACGTAAAACAAACTATTCAAGTAAAAACTGTAATTTTCCCTAGGAGAAAAAAAAAACGGACAACTCTTGATTAATTTTGGATGCATGTGGGAGAGGCCGATTGACCCTCCTGCCCCCTTACCCTTCGGAGTCGTCAGCGATAACAATGAATACCTATATCCCACCAATCTCTAAGAGTTTTTTTTTTCTGGGCCCTGGCAGCTAGACTGCGCCGCATAACAGCCGTGCACTCCGGGCGGACCTAAATCTCCTGATATCCTTTGTATTTGCCTTCGAAAAGATTAACATGGCTTTTTCCGATTAGTAAGTAGTGACGAATAATTTGGTATCAAAACCACAGGGATTTGATGCTTCGAGTTTAGCTTCGATCAACACTCAGCAGTAAACACACAAACGGTATGACACAAACTGCATCTAATTGTGAACACTTTTACAACTTCTATTCAGTAGCTTTAGCATTCGTGCATATTATGCAATGGGCACTTTTTTCTTTGTTGCTGTTCAGTTCAGCCTTTTAAGGCGCATTAATAATTACTATGCGCTATTGAGTGTTTCCACTGCATTAAGTGTCTTATTTTTTACATTGTTTTTCAACAATTTTAGCCTTATTGTTAACCCTCGCCCTGGCAGGGGGGGGGATCGATGCGACCCCCCCCCCCCTAAGGTTTTTTCAAAGATAGCGTAAAAACGGCAGCGCCACCAAATTTGGCACAGCGTATGGGGCAACCTTTTTACATATGACCTCAAAATTTCAGGTCCGGGTGACCTTGGGTCAGGTCACCAGGTCAGAAAAACCGGTACAATATCATGGTCAAATTTCAATTTTCTTTATGCACCTGTCCAACTCACAGTTTTGGGCTGATTTCCCTCAAACATTCAGGATGTGCTAAGTTTACCAAGTTGTATAACATATAGTTCGTTTTTTATGTCACTGACCTGAGGTCAGTTAGAGGTCATTACATCGTAATGTTAAGCCTATGGGAAAATATTCAATTCGGAAAATAGGTACTGGAGACATCCGCTTCGTTCTATCTTTTTGTGCTTTGAAATCTTAGTACTCAACATTATATCACTTGGTGTTTCTTTGTTTGGTGTACTTATCCATGGATCAGGTCAAATGAGGTCAACTGAGGTCAAATGACGTTTGTGCCAATAACTTGTCACAAAATAAAGATACAGCTTTCAAAATGGTATCATTCTGCTCCTCTTGAAGGGCCGAGTCGAATGATATGCAATATTAAGCCTTTCAACCATTCTTAAGACTTAAGTTGTAGGGTAGACCGGGGCAAGTCGCCCCGCCGAGGTAAAACGCCTCACCGATTTTTCTCGGAACTGGCAAGGTTCTGGAGAAACATCATCTCTTCTATAAAACGTGCACTATATGATCATTATATGAGCAGACTGGAAAGAAATTGTGATGACTCTTTAGGAAGATATAGCCAGAAATGTGTTTTTGGAGTGATTTTTATGTTTTGTTGTCAGCTTATGCATCATGGCGTTCTTTTATGGTCCGCATCAGGTTAACGACTTTAATGTATTTTGAACAACTTTATCTAATGCTTATAATGCCGGCTTGGTTCGTGTTAAATTATGCCTTGCTGGAGTGCAAGGCGTTGTTCTCTGACCGAACTACGTGATGGGGTAAAACGCCCCAGTAGGTCGCGGGGCAAAACGCCCCATGGGGCGTTTTACCTCATGTGTTGTTCGGACTACCCACTTCCTAATGTTTGGTAGCTGGCTAACAGTAAGTTTCTATGCATTTATATGTACTTTTCTCAGCAACTGGATGTCAAAGGAAGTAGTTTGTTAACATTTCCATTGCAATAATTTATTATTTGGCCTTATGAGGCACGTGAAAAACCTGCTCATACAATGGTGTTTTAGCTGAACACCTGATAGGGTGGAAGGAGCTAACTTTAGTGCCGTGCTTCCCAAGGTCTAACAGGCCTCTCATATAAGATTTAAGTCAACTAGCATGTTTAATCTTTAATCTAGAGTATGGGGCTTCTTGCCCCAGGCTGTGGGGCGTTTTGCCCTGGGTTTGGGGCAAAATGCCCCATTTGCAGTTGCTTCACAAATCACTTCCTAGCTAGGAGTCCGATCATAAGTGAATGAATTTTAGGGGTGGAGTTTAAAGTAAAATGTCCAAAGAACGCATGTAGGTCAAATTTAGCCTTCCAGGTGATGTGGGACAAAAGTTGTGTAGCAAAATAAATTATCTGGGGCGTCTTGCCCCAGGCTACCCTACTTAAGATGTGCTTAGCTTTTTAAGTACCAAAACAGTATATCATTCGACGCGCCTTGACGTGCTGAGTTTACTGGTGCTTTTTTGCTCTATCTAAATTAGATCAAAAGTTAAAAGCGAAAAACTTTTGACCTGTTTTTAGCGAAATTTTTACATTCATACCCCCAAAACCCCCCTAAATATTGACATAGAGCAACCAAATTTGCACAGGGGCGAAAACTCCAGGGGGCCCACATGCCTACCAAATTTCGTGTTTCTAGGTGCCATAGGAGCCAATCGCGAGGGGGGTCGCATCCCCCCCCCCCCCACTGCCAGGCCATGTTGTGAAAAACGCCCTGCCAGGACGAGGGTTAATCACGTCCATTTTCAGGTCATAAAACAGTAAGCCCGTCGTTACAGTGTATTGCCCCTTTTCATCCGCAATCGCGTTCGATCATTGCAGACGACATTAATTTGATCGTCAGTCGTCGGGGACGATCAAACAGATCAACCAGCCATAAGATACATTGTATCAAAGCCATATGCTGTCTTTTTGTTTGCTGAATCGATATTCATTATATTTGTAGGTATGTGTTCCTGTGCCGTCAACGTACCAATGCTTTGTGAACACGTTATTACGATTGTGTGGAGTCACTCAGCGACTCGCGTCGCGCCCCTCTCGCTCCATCTTCCTCAGACTCCAGTCTCTGATCATTTCGCCGTTTATTTACAAATTACATCAAAGCTGGCTGGACGACAAACCAGACAGCTCGACACTTATGTACAACACGAGGATGAATGGCGAGTCCCATCGCAATCCTGATACAGGGACACACAGGGCATAGCTACCATGACACAATCAGGCAGAACGGCTAGACGAGAAGCCCTCCGTACGCCCAAACAACAGGAAGACAAGTCATTGTGTTCTCTTATAAACGCATGATAAAATCAATCATCTCGCTCACAAATATTATAACACGATACCTCAGCCACAACCATGGCGATAAAAACCGTGTAAAACCAACCACCATGGGCAGTCAATCTGGAATGCGTTAAAATGACCGCCTAAAAACGACAGCTGAATGGCAAACGCGACGCTCGGCTTAAATCACACAGTACAATCTTGATGCGAACTTCTCCATCTTAGTTGACGACGCTCGAGGACATGTACCACAGCGAACTTCTTTGTCCGGACGCCGATCGGCAGCGGACGCTGCTCTGACGGAGGCGGAATGTGGCTGCGGCTCGACGGACGGACGCGGCCCGCTTAGTCGAGACACGTGGTGCGCACGATGGCCTCTGTGACCCGGTACGGGTCGCAGTTGGAGCTGGGCCGCCTGTCCTCCAGGTATCCGTATCCCTCCTCGGCCACCTGGCGCGGGATCCGGATACTGGCGCCGCGATTTGCCACGCCTGTGGACAAGAGAACGCATCGGTCAGCGACAGAAACGGGAGGAAGTTATTGGTTTAGGGCAGCAGTGAGTGCCCAACATTTTAGCTCAATAGTCGCCCAAAAGCTTCGGGAAATGATTCATAAGTGGTGTGCTGGATCTCCTTCAAGTGGGCTTTTTTTCCAGCCAGGGTCGTTTATTGGTTTATTGACTATTTTTCCGGTGGACGACCAGACGCGCTCTGTCGATTGTTTGACCTTATTTATAGTTTGTGATCTGACTTATATCGGTCTCTCGTCACTCGTGGCCTTCGACCGGTACATCAGTCGCCTCAGACGCACATCGCTCGGTATGAGACGGTCCAGACAGAGCTGATGCGACAGCGGACAAGTCCGCCGGCCCAGACAAACACGTGACGGTAGGTTCACAGGCGGCACGTGACCGTCTGGGCGGGCCCACGACAAGGGATAGACCACGCCCCGCCCGGCTGATAGGCGTTAACGCGCAAAGGCTCCGGTATTTTCTAACTTTATCGAACCTTTGTTATTTGATTCAGTTAATTTAAAAAGCGGAAAAGTGGCGAATATTAAGTAATAGCCAGTCATTGGCTTGGTATGTGTTGGTCTAAATGCTGGTCGCCTTTTACCAGCCCGGTTCGGAGAAGCCAGTTGTTAAGGCTCGTAACACCGTTCCTTGGGGTGCGTGAGACCTTGAAGTCACCGACGTGGCGGGATACAACTGGCCATAACCGGCTAGACAGAAGAAATGACCGAGTGAACCGGCCTTGGCACGACTGGTGGTGACGAGCCAGACACGGAAACAAACGGGAAACGCTCGCGCAGCAAAATAAGGGTGAGCAGCTTCCCGTATTTGAAGAAAAAAAAATCAACATACGCTTCGTTATTTGTCAATACCCTTCCAAATTTATGAGATATAATTTGATATGCCTCGCTGAGGACAAAAGCGCTATGAACTGTATCGCTCGACAAGCAATCCATCACACCACTTGTTTGCGTTCTGAACTTTCGAAGCTATCTCTCAAGTGATTCGAGATAAGGGCGTGAAAAAGTTCGGACGGTGTTTTAGCGTCCTATCGGCACTAGATGTCCACGATGCCTATCTGTCTAACTGACCCACTTATGGGTATATTTGCACCTTAGCCTACTCAGCAGCGATCGGAGCTGAGGAGCGGGCGTTATCGTCACCGATCGGTCATGGCCAGGGCAGCCCTCGAGCCGTGAGTGGTCCCAGCCGTGTACCCGTGATGGGCTGAGGAAGCGATGGTGTACAGAGCACCTCAAGTACCGTATGGTACCAAGGTACCAGCTCGAAGGGGTAGGTACTGACCGGCGGAGAAGTCGTGGATGCTCGAGGTCTCGTGCCGACCGGTCAGCCGGCGGCTGTTGTCGCGGCCCTCGTTCGGGTCGTACATCTTGATGTGGTGGGCGTGGTTGGAGCCCAGCTTCTCGATCGCCTTCTCGATGTGCCTGTGGAGCAGAGGGGACCTACAGTTAGCATTGATCGCGCCATTCCAACAGGGGCCCAATTGCGGGTCGTTGACATCGTGTTGAAGCGCAGGTTTCCCAAATAACGGTCCCGTTTGACAACCTATCGGTTAGGCTTTTTGCGATAGGTACCTAATGACATCTTTTGTCCGACAATGATTGTTTAAATATGATACTGCGTTTCACAACCGAAATTACCGGTTCGCCTCGTCTCCCAGCTAGCGCGGAACGCGAGGTCAGTGAGCTCGCGATCCGGGTCCCCGGAGACAGTGGACGTGCCCCCTGCCCAGCCCCGCCCCGCCCCGTCCGACCCAGTCCCAATCAGATTAAACAACTTGTCTCTCCCCCTCCCGGTCCGCGAGACGAGCGACCTTCAAATACGCCCATTATGGAGATTGCGTGATTTAAATTGCGTCGTTCCGGCCCCCAGCCGCACTCACGCCACCGTTCGTAAACTCTGATGATGGGCGCAAAATGACCTCGTAGTCGGCGCGCCCCTAACCCCCAACAAACAAACAAACAAACAAACAAACTCCGATGACGTCAGTGCTTTTGAAAAGCCTCCAGGGTCAAATACCGTTCCGGCCCCTCGTCCCAGCAAACAAGATACCCGGATAGCATCTTTTTGGTCCCCGATGATGCTCTCCATTACAATGGGACACACAATATTAAAAATCAGCATTGCTATTCTCGACCATATGCCGATTTCGGGCCGACACAATAGCGTGCTGCAATTTAGACAATTACAGCAATTATTTGGCCATTTGGTTTCTCCAAACCTGACTACTAATTTGGCATGAGCTGCCCGTGTTACGTGGAACTCATCCCATCAGGCGATTCCATCTCAGCAAAGGCTGCCTCCAGCTCGTGCCGTTTTTCGCAACGGACCGCCTCAGGCGCCGGGTCAGCCCGTTCCGGCCATGATCACGTGTGCAGCTCTTTTGGTGCACGTGACCGCTGCGGTGCCTTTCAAGGCACGCTGTCACCTCGTGATCGAGCAAGGACGCCGTGAGAAAGATGACCGGGAGAGGGGAGAGAGCTGCAGCTCGGCACTCCCTGTTCTGAGAGCTGCTGCAGCTCATCGGCCTCAGAACCGGCCGGGCGACCGAGAAATAACGGGACCTATGACGTCGGACTCCCTGCATTACCAACTGCATGTGATGCATTTCTATCGCGGAATGGCGTCGCTACAATAGGCCCTTCTTCCTCCAATCCGCACCCAACAGCCCAACACCAAAGTCCTTAGACTACTTACGTGATGCCTCCCTTCTCGCGCATGGCCAGCGTGCTGAAGTTAGTGTGGCAGCCGGCGCCGTTCCAGTCACCCGGGATCGGCTTCGGGTCCAGAGACACGTTGATGCCGAAGTCCTCGGCGACGCGGTGCAGTAGGAAGCGGCCCATCCAGAGATCGTCACCCATCCGGATGCCCTCAGCCGGGCCGACCTGTCGACAAGAGTGAGATGGAGCGGTGAGATCGGGCCGAAGATAGACGGGCAAGCGATCGGTGACACGCTGTAGCTCGTCTGCTGTGCTAATCGACGACAGCAGGCGACCTATACCAACCGCTAGCCTTATCTTCCGTGCAAGGGAAACTGGTTTGCTTTAATGCCCCGCTGCGTCCAAGGGCACTGCTGACATCAGACATTCAAAAACGGAAGACCGAGGCAGACGCAAACAACAATCGCATGCGCGTCTAATGCGTGACTGCACATCGCGCGCGGCATTATCAACACGCTGTTTTCGCTTCGTGCATCCGGCGAAAACATGACCTCGGCGCGTCGCTCTGCGTTCTCCCCGCGCCCCTTCCTGCACCTGAGCCCCGGCTCTCACCTGGAACTCCCACTGGGACGGCATGACCTCGGCGTTGGTGCCGGCGATCATGACGCCGGCGTACAGGCAGGCGCGGTAGTGGCTCTCCACCACGTCGCGGGCGTACACTTTGGAGGCGCCCACGCCGCAGTAGTAGGGTCCCTGCGGCCCCGGGAAGCCGTTCTTGGGCCAGCCGAACGGGTGCTGGTCCGAGTCGAGCAGGGTGTACTCCTGCTCCATACCGAACCACGGGTGCTGCTCGGCAGCCTTGTCCATCACCTCCTTGCAGGTGTGGCGGAAGTTGGTGTCTGTGGAGACAGAGAAGAACGTCAGAGCTCAGGGGGCGGGGTTTGTTCAGAGGAATGAAGGCTTATCGGTTGGATGTTTATATTGTTACCATACTGCCGTCATGTTTGACGCCATTGGTGTGAAGTCCCAGACCCAGACGGTTGCAGGTGAATGTTTATTTAATGAGGGCATATGCTCCGAAAGATTCATTAACATCCAATCTCCATGTGGAATACATATGAATAAACAATTCATTTTGCACCGAGCTTGTGACGCTCGAGCACGTCAAAGCGTTGCGTCATGTACTAAACCTGAAGTCACAAAATCGTGTTTTTGACAGACATAAACAGTGAGCCGTGCGGCACGTATTCCAGAAAACATCCCAATGTAACTAGATAGACTCTACTACGCAGTGCGCTGCAGCCCCGGGTGCCCGTAAAACAGAGTTGAGTCGCAATCAGCACGGGAGGAGAGTTTCGCAAAGCGAGACGGCGGAGTTTACAGATCCCGGCGCCCATTCTGCCACCCAGTCAGACGAACCCTGCGGCCAGGTCAGCGCTAATGCCCGGGTCTCACGAACCGGGTCTGTACCCCGACCCTCGCCCTAGGGTCTCCAGCCACGCGGCCATCAACCGCACACCCAGTACCGCTAGACCACGAATTACGTGAAGCCAAGGACGTCTGGGCCCAACCCACCACTCGACTCCACCCACAGAGTTGACCTTGGAAAGGACAGGCGTGCGAAGAGCCCGCCTGTTGGGGACGGCCGCGGGGGGCGTGTGCGTGTGTACGATAACACGTCCTGACGCACGAAGCGCACAACCCGCAAGGTCAGATAAATTCCTGACGTAGGGTCGGCCCACCAACGTCCTTCCGTTTGATGAGAACCTCTCGCTTTGAGGAGGCGTGGTCGCCGAGACAGGGGGTGTGTCTGGACGCGTCGGTGGGACCCAGGGTCATAAGCCTGGGCGGAAGGGAGGGAGGGAAGGTATAACCGCCGACGGATGTCACTTCCACCGCAGTGCCAACTGCATGATCAATGTCTGGCTTCCTTATCGAATGATTTCCGATGTTGCCCATGGCCTCGACTCTGTCGAGGATGCAACTGATGCAGCAGCGGATGGGCTGCGATAGCGCGACAATGCCAGAGAGCGCCGAATTGGGAGTTATGGCCCGGATGATGTCGAGATAAATGTTCGATAACGTGGTGGCAACTAGCAATCGTCAGTAGATTGCCGCACTTGAAGCTCGATTTCAGCATCGGATGAGGGCTTTGTTTGGACGCTCGTGGTTGCAGGAGATTATTGCAAACCATCGTGCAGGATTTTACGTTTTTAGATGTAAGCGGATTAAATGCCTACCCTAAGGACGTGACATCATATCACCACGCCAGCTTAAACTAACTAAAGCCAACTCAAACCGAATGTGCTAAGACCTTATTTGCAACCACTTACTACCTTCCCCCAATGTATCTCAGTTTTAGGTCAAGATTTATAGCAAACAATTGTCTACATGGACGGTCCTTCTCTCCGACTTACCGGCGGGCTTGCGGTTGTGCTTGTAAGTCTCGCACAGCACCAGCTTGTTGTTGCCGAGGCGGAAGGGATCCCGGTAGAGCGCCACAGGGTACAGATACACGTCAGAGTTGCTGCCCTCCGCCTGACCGGTCGACGAGCCATCAAAGTTCCAGATGGGGAGCTCTGCAGAGGGGAAGGAGCGCGTTAGAGGAGCGTGCACGAGAGGGTTTCCTGCAGGCAGACAGCTCAAACGTGATGGATAAGTATCGCCCTTGAGGGAAAGGGTTACAGAGAACGAAATGACAAATAAAATGACTTCCGCGTTTCTGCCAGAGCTAACATGATTGCTTCCTTCCTAGTGGAGGACGGTGCTTTTAAGAAGCCAGCGCCCGCGTCTGAACATTGAATTATCATTGGACGGTTACATCCAATGCCCAGTATTGACCGTTTATTATGTAGCTATCTGCCGTTGAAATAATTGCATAATCAGCTATCACGTCTAGTGTCCTGTCAGCCCGCTATAAAAAAATGTCATCTGAAGCACTCTCAGAGAGCTCTATCGCAGCGTCTCTACCGCTATGATCATCAACTCTGAAGTGGTTTGTATACAATTTCGAGAGAGAGAGCTATCGCTCACATGACACTAAGTAACCAGTATGGTGACTATCGCCAACAGTGCAACGATAGAAACAATCTGGCACGCTGTGGTCCGCCTGTGAACCTTCTACATTTTTTCAGCGGCTAACCTAGCCAACCAGACGATTTAAGACACCGATTGTTCAGGTCTCGACCTCACCATGTCCCCCATCTCACCTGACGGGCTCTTGGGGATGAAGTCCACCGTCTTGGTCTTGGCACGGACGTGCTCTCCGGTGCCGTCGATCCAGACGTACATGCATTGCGTGGTGTTGTCAGGTATCGGTAGACTCAGGTACCTGTGAACGCAGGGCAGGCGCCTGGTTGGCCGGGGGCAGCGGAAATACATAGTTAATACGCGGCGCCCGAGTGAGTGGGAAGGGGGTCCCGGTGGTAGGTACTAGGTAGTGCGTGCACTAAGGTACAGAACTGACCCGAAACGGAGAGGGATGCCCAATGCGTGCAAATTAATGGTTAGCTCAATGTCCTGGATAACGTAAAAGGGCACATGCATTTTTGTGGGGAAATCACAATATATGCTAACGGCTATTCAGTATCCAATACATTAGTCGGCATTTGACAAGACGGCGGGAAACCACTCATGCAATATTGCAATATCATATGATGGGATGTTAAATAAAATTGATTGATTGATTGATTATACAAGGCTGCCGTATAGAACGGTCGAAATCCTTCATGCAATTATGGGACGAAGCCGGAAAGGATTACCTAAATAGTCCTATGCGTTGGGACACAATTTCAATATAACAAACAGATAACAGTAAAACCATGCAGCTCTGTACCATACCTAAACGTGAGAGCGTCATGCTCAACTCAACACCCGCCACCCACAAAACAAAAAGAAAATAAACTCACCGGTCCAGAACAGTCTTGTTGGTAAACATGTTGTCACTTTATATCTGCAACAAAAAGAAAATTTGTTAGATTTCCATAAGCGACAGATCCTGCGCATTTTTAATGTTGATAGCTCTATTAGCTACATTAGATCCCATGGAATACTTCCAACAAACTATACAGATGCGGTGTCCGTCTCCACCTTACGAACAGAGTCGCTCATTATTTTCTGCTCAGAGCGAAATAATTTGATACGTTGGAGGAAATATGCGTCGATGATCACTGTGCCTTATTGCACAACAAAGCGCAACGGGCACCAATTTAGGCCGTTCCGATCCAGCGTTCGGGCGCAATTGAAGTTGATTTCGTGTCCCGAGGGTATATTAGCGTAAATCGAAGCCTGTGCGCAGGAAGCGGTCTGACTGAAACGCCCTTGAGCGCCGGAAATCAGTGCATTGATGCACCACATGCAATCTGGGCCCAAGCACAACAGCCGTTCAGGGCCGTATTGATGCACAGAATCATAGATTCAGGCGTTTAAACAGTCTCGGCCTGCTGATTCGTCGCTAGGGCGCACAAAAACGGCTTTGGGACAACATTTGACGTTTTAACTCGAGACTGGAGTAAACAAGGTCATATTGAAGCCTTTTCTGCGCAACCGGCAAAGAGCGGACAACCGCCAGAGGCATTTAGCGTTTGACCTCTGCCAGCAACCGAAGGGTATCAGGAGAGAGAACCCTAACCTAGCTTCCACCCTTCCTTCAATGATCGGCTGTAACTGCCGAGATTAGCCTGGAGGGTCAGTTATGCTAACCTATGGTTTCGGTTGCGGCGCGCGCTTATCCTTGGGGCGTTGGGCGGCGACTGGGAAGGTAGACTGTACCGCCGAACACCCAGCCGGTTGGCCGCGGCAGTGACGCGGCGCTACGCGAACCGGACAGAATTTACGGTCGTTTCGGCGGCACGGACCTGCGCTAACCGGACAGGATTTTGGACATACGCCACAGCGGCGCTCTGGATGTGTCCGGATCTGTCCAGCGCCACTCGGCACCCGCTCAGAGCCTGTCTGGTTGGTCTGGTCACTGTGGTCAGTGGTCATACCAGTCGGCTCGCTCGGCTCGAGCAGACCCTCCAGTGGGCGAATGAGTCCGAGGCCGAGAGTGCACGGTCATGGATCATGGACGGACCGAGTGATCGCGGCCCTGCGGTCACACCGGGCACTCCTTCCTCTCTCCGCTCTCCCTCCTCTCTCCGGAGCCCGGTCGGCGACTCAGTGAGAGGCCGGTTACTTGCAGATTGCATCGCTCCGTTGCTATGCTCAGCTCGCCGCTCCTGGGTCACCGCTGATGCAGCTCCGCCAGCGGGCCAAAGCGGTGAAATAATACCGGCAGCTCGATAGAATCAGTCCAACCGTGTGATTGAGAAAGGTCAGAACTCCCGGATACATCTATATTTCACTGTATATTTGAGATAGGTAGTGAATGCAAATTGGCTGGGCTCTATAATATCTGGTTTTGCACTAGCAACTGATTGAATGTTCATATTTTCAACTAGGAAGTCAATTCATTTTAGGAGTTGAATTACATGATACTTTATAATTGTAAATACCAAATTTGGTCCTTTGAAAGCCTTAAACCGATGGGATTAAAGCCCGGCACAAAACATCTTTGAGATCGATAATTTAAGTTCCACACTGAACGTATCTGTAGCGAAGTACCTAAGTAGACTGATATCTTGCCCATTATAGCCGACCACAAATTTGGAACAGCAATATCTTGAGGCAAATCATAATGATCGTCTAACATTATGGGCACTACTGCAAGCCAAAGCAGGCAAGTGCGACGTTCCTCTTATTTTCACCCGACGTCACCCGAACATTCAAATGAACGACTCTCTGCGCAGTGAGTGGCCTGGGCCCCAATAACGCCATGGAAAACTACGGGTGCCGACGCGCACCTATGGGGAGCCAGAAACCTTTCCACGAGTCCGATGGAAGATTCCGTCCCTGAATGTCACAGCGTAGGGGGCCCGAAATAGTAGGTACCCTGGAAGAGGGCGCTTGTGCACAGGGATTTATCTTCACAGGGCTGCAAGGAGGGCAGCAACTCGCTCGAGGTTGTAACATTCCGGCTCTTTAAACGGTGCATTAATTTTTTTTTCTGATACCATCAAATGTTCACAAAATAATTTTGCAAGTAGCTTCAACTTCCGACAGTTATGAGAAGCACGTAATGTAAGAAAACTCGCGGGTGGCAACCGCCAACCACCCGAAGAGACAGTGCATACTTGCGACATTGCACGAATTAAATGCACACCAAGACACCCTCACCTGCTGACAGACTTACCGAAACCTCGGAAGAGCTGAACACACGACCACCGACTCTCGAAGCAGACGGACGAATATGCGTCGGCCGGCCGGCTCCGTGCTTATAAGATGGGCGCTCCGAGGGCGGTGATGACGTCAGAGGGCCGGGCGGTGGCGCGGCCGGTCAGCTGATCGGCCCCAGGCGCGCAGATGCCGCCCGCCCGCCCGCCGACTGGTTTTTGTGACGCACATTTTCGGATTTGAGAAAACACCATGTGGTCGGCTGCTTCTGCGTCATATTCTGGGGCGATTACGCGCTTCCGCTATCGCTGGATTTCGTAACTTCAGTCAATAGTCGTAGAATGGGGGACACCCGAATTGGATAGGTAAGCAAGGTCCGGAGGAGAAGCTTTTGCTCTAGACTCAAGAGAATGTCAAAGAAATAATTCATTACGATGGCTCATTGAAACGACCTTAATTCGTCCCTTTTAACTTCTGAACCTGCCCGATCACACTTCTCTGCCCGGCTAACATTCACCCCCATCACTCAACTGGTGCTCGAGCACGCTCGAGGAGGGCAGCTCTGATAGAATCCACTTCCGTGGGGATCGTCTGAGCGAATGGGTCACCTGCCCCCCTCTCCTCCCATTGACACATCACCATCCGAACAGGACGGGCCCAGTTTCTGCGGCACCGGCCGGCCTGAAGCGTCTCGACCTTTTCCTCCCATCCAAACGTGACAATAAAATGGTGTAAATCGCACATTTTTTAGCCAGTCAAAAACCCAATAAGACATCCTTTCAATGAATATACCTACGTAATGGCAATTTATACAGCTCCCATTAAACTATTGAAACAATTGCTTTTAAACATATTCTTTTATGTGTAGGGTAGGGATTTAGACGCTTGAATTAGCATCATTCGGCTGAACTGCTGAACTTTCAGAACTCGATCGCCGCTATTTTTTTTTTTTGTAGGTATAGTTTTAGCCTAAGGACAGTGAATTAGTCGCTTAGAAGCTAAAACGGCTTTTCGAAAGATTTATTTTCAATCACTTCCATGGGAACTCCTTGTCGGTAACTAATATTGAATGATAAATAAGTGAAGTTTACTCTGGCCATATTTTATGGCACAATGTTATGGAGTTACTTTGAGCCAAATTATATGCATCCGAACGATCCGAATCCGATCCGAATGTACGCTTTTCGGCCGCTATAAAAACTATCATAGTCGTTCGTTGTTATAGTCATTATAGTCGTTATAGTCGTTTTAGTCGTATAGGTAGTCGTTCATTGTTTTCGTTTCCAGCATGAAAACGATAAACGATAAGTAGCTGAACAACATACATAAAATTAAGATATCTAGTCATAGAAGCTGGAAATAATGGAAATTGTATATGACTTAAACCTTTTCCCGAAGCTCATTTTTTACCGTTTTGCGAAAGCAGGTTGAAGCCTTTTTATAAGAAGTCAGAAGGTGTGAATATTCGAAATTTGAAGGGCTATAGCGCAATATGTCAATGTAACGTCGCAATAGCAAGCGCTTATCTCGGCCAACCCCGAGAGGAACACTTTACTCGTCTCTACACTCTGCAAGTGATAGCGTCTCCACACTCATCATTCAGCTCCCGACCCCTCCCATCTACACGAGCCATTAGGAACCCTGACTGGCGGGCCGTGACCCGCCCCGCCGCCGGCGACGGCCAGTGAGTGTGCAATTTGGGCTCTGCTCGTTGCCGGGCGGTGTTGCCAGGCACGCATCACGCAGTGAGACGCACGCCACGGCCGTACCTCCGTCATCCGTAACGGTCCAGCTGGGTCCATCCGACCACGCTTGCCGGCCGTGGCCCACGCCCCCCGCACCGACCCGGCCAGCCGACGCTGAGAAAACAAGTGCGCCGCACCTCGAAAGGAACAGTGCTGGCGATCGCAGGCTGCCACACGCAACGGTGGGCTGCAGGACGTTTTACTATGATGCTATTGCAAGTAACGTTCATCATTCGTGTGCCCTTCACTTCTTGGTCGGTAGGTATATTAAAGTCATCTATCATACGTACCTATTTGTCGACAGTTAACATGAATTAATTGCCGTTCTTTTGCAGGGTCAATTTGTAGGGCCAGCCCAATTTTGCCTTATTCCGGAACCGGCGTCACCGTCAGTTGCGGCGGAACAACCTCAATTAAGGGGGGGGGGGGGCACTGCCGGCTTTTGGTCCCATTCTTTCCATGCAACGCCCATAGGGCTAATGTTAAAATGCCAAAATCAAAGGGGGGCACGGTGCCCCGGTGCCCTCCCCGTTCCGCCGCCTATGGTCACCGTATAAGACAGTCAATAATTTGCCTAGAGCCTAACGCCGGAGCCGGAGCCGCTGGGGCCAGCATATTTTGCCTGTTGCCGGAGCCAGAGCCGCCGAGCTATTTTACACGGAGCAGAGTCGGAGTCAGAGCCGATGTAGGCCATCGACTGGATCAATAATTAATAGCCATTCAAAATCTTTATAGTTCCGTGTTCTTGTTTTGGTGTTCGTCCGGTTCCTGTTGGTTTTTGACGTGCGTAAGACTCCTCGAAATCTGAGAATGCCTTGGGAAACTGACACATTTTTCGTCACTTGCACATTCAGCAAAGGTGTCTCTCGGAACCAAACATATCACAATATCGTGATTGGGTAACACCTCATCGTAACATGAAGCTTCATTTCCTCACTGGTACACTCTCGATCACACGTCTCCCGCGTGCCCTGGTGACGGTGCGATCCTCTCCGTCGCGGCGGGGTGACCCGAACGTCGCTCCGGTTCATTACGGGTCCAGCCACGACCTCGCCGATGAGGAGACGTGCCTCCCGCTGACGTCACTGGCCGCCTGGGACACCAGCCCTCCGTCGTGGGGCCACGCGCCGTCAGAGGTAGGCTCGGGTACCGCTGGTCTCAGTGATGACGCACTCGCCGCAGACCGTCTGTTTACGGTAATCGCTTGTGGCGATGCGGTGGGTACCACGTTTGTGTAAATAGTGTTTCTTCGCTGTATCCAGTTGCTGATATCCAGATGCTGCATCCAGTATTTGGTGCCAGACCTTCGACTTATCTTGGGAAACTGAAGGTGTTGCGAATACGATGTTGCGCATAGAAGTGTGACAACCAGGCGACAAGTGACAGCCAGCCTGGCACCTGCGAGGTTTAGCGATCATGGCACGAGTGACGAGGAACACTGATGATATATTAATGCCTTATATTAGCTTCAGGGGCTCATTTGGTGCCGGCCGGAATCTGCCCAGTGGATTTAATGGGGATGTGGACTGGTGCAATACGAATCGTGCCCAAGCTCAATTCCGACGATAAGGTCGATAAGCACGCAGGAAATAACACCATTTAAGCGACTGACTAGATTGCAACTAAGTGCTTGATTACTGACACGCGATGGAAGATTAATTCAAGTAGAGCGACATGGCTGCAAGTCTGTAGGCTGTTTTGCTGTTTCACGTTCGTGTAAAAATGTGTGTGTAACTCAGCTACATGTGGTACCAACGGGCCACGGTGACATAGATGAAAGCGCCACCATTCAATTCGCAATTCGCAGTACCTACCTATGCATAATCATCGGCCATTTCAAACTTGATGGTTCCTTGACTTAAGTGACCTCGATGACCTTAAAAGGTCAACTCAATTTAATCTCCCACTGCAGTCATCCTTTTACTCAGCAATCGAGACGAAAATACCACCATTCTGTTTTCGCTTGCAATTTCATGAGCGTTCCTTCATTGACCTCGAATAAGTTCGATGACCTTGAGACCTACGGGAAGGAGGTTGAAGTGCGCCACCTTAATGAAAAACGCTAATTGGAAGAAAACCGCTGGAGAATAAGCATGCACTGGTAACCACTTCAAAGAGGAACTCATTAGCTACGATTTAAGAGCCTCCCGATCAATTAAGAATGTTTCGTTTGCTTTTGACAGCCGCTTTTTCAGAAACATGCAAAAAGGGCGCATTTTACCAACAACTGCTGTAAATTGCGCCAGGGGGATGGCGCAATTAGAATCCAATTGCGCCCTATACTTTAACATGGCTAAGCGAATGAGACGGAATGCATACACCCCGGCAGTCTAATGTCATTGCGGCTTACTTAAACATTTATAATGTTAGTCAGGCTGGATAAATAATAAATGTAGATTTAAATCGCGATGTTTTTGCCCAGGTAAATAACTTTACATGTGTCCGTATGCCTGTAAAAGTGCAATGAAAACGTTTAATGTAACCGACTAGATATATGTGAAGGTATGCGCCTATATTCGGTTAAATTATCAATCGTTTCTCTCAAAATTAATAATTTTTATCAGGGATGCGGAGCCGTGGAAATTTCAGACGGCTCCGGCTCCGGCTCCGGCTCCGGAGAAAAAAATCGGCTCCGGCTCCGGCTCCGGCTCCGGGTGAAATGTTATGGCGGCTCCGGCTCCGGCTCCGGCTCCGAGTAAAATGGTCCGGCTCCGGCGGCTCCGGCTCCGGCGGCTCCGGCTCCGACTCAGTACATCCCCTACGCAATCAATTAAATACGGGTGGAAGAAAAATTGGATTGGTTATACGCGTTACTCTTTGCCATGACCGGCTCACCGCGTCCCCGCGCAAACGCACCTCGGAGAGAACTGGCAGAACAAAGGGCTAGGAAGCGATGGCATTGGAAACGCAGTCGCCGCGAATCGGAGTTCAGTGAACCATCGTAAGCTGACACCCGTCTCGGCTGCATTGGGGGGTGAGGGGTGGGGGGTGTGTGGGATGAGACGGTGCTGGGAGTCGCAGTCCACTGCACTGGTTTGAAAACAATGGCCGTCACCTGATGACTGGTCCTCATGTTCAGGGGATGCAGTAGACGTGGGGGGGGGGGGGGAAGAGCAAACAGGAAGTTGTTTGCGTACTGTGGGATACTGGGGATATTCGGATTTTTTCATTCACTTGATGGCCCATGACGTAAGTACCATATGTTTTACTGCCTTGTACTGTCAAACCGAACTAGGTCAATTATTTTTTTTTCCTCTTCAAAAAATAAAAAGGAGCCGGAGTCGCCCCCTTTTTTGGCGGCTCCGGCTCCGGCTCCGGCTCCGGGCTATTTTGTTTCACGGCTCCGGCTCCGGCTCCGGCTCCGGGCAAAATATGCCGGCTCCGGCGGCTCCGGCTCCGACTCCGGCTCCGGCTCCGCATCCCTGATTTTTATCGTTTCGACAACTTTTTGACATCAGTTTTTACTTTTTTATCATAGCTGTCACCTCTCATGCCCTAGTTCATGTTGAAAATGCCAGTTTTGTCAATTACACGGTACACCACAAGTTCGTAGCCTAAATGGCAGCTGCATTATAAGTTTGACGAGATAAATAATTTGCGGACTGACGACAGCGCGCTGCTCCCCTGCCTGGCATTAAACTCCTTCTTTATTGTAATCCGTTAATGATGCATTCATACTGTTGTGATACAATAGCTACACCATTATTCTATTCGCGCCTCCTGGCGCAATTGCCATGGGCGCAATTAAAATTGAGGTACTTTTTAATAAAAGTATAGAAGTTGTCATAAATATGCTGAAGCATGTTAACTGTTTCACTGAAATATAATGGGGTAAAGGGTCTTCTTTCTAAATATCACTCTGAAAATCACACACGTATCGCATATTTTTATAGCCAACGGCTCAAAATACTGCAGAAAAGCTAAGAAAACGCCGTAATATCTTCGATGGCGTAATGAGCCCTGCTGATTGGCTTCGTCGGAGAGCTTGGGCCATAACATGAATTATCCAGTGGTGACGATATTGTTTTCGATCACAAAATTCTAAACATGCCATTGAATTCGTGGGAATGTTGGTGGTCGCAATTGGTTAGGAGGGCGCAATACACCCACTTTCTCCTACTTAGGAGGTCAACTTAACGTTTCCGCCTATTGCAGCCATCCTACAACTCAGGTGAGACACTTGGCCAGTCGATTAAAACGAAAACGCCACCGTTCGATTCTTTGTATGCGATTTCACCCAGCCGTTTAGAGTATGGTGACCCTTGGTGGTCTCTCAAGTTGACCTATTGAGGTCATTGATCATGATATTGCCCGACACGAAGTCACTATAGGTTCGATACCTATAGGCGAGGTAACTTCGTGGTGAAAAAATGCAAATCTTCCTCCAGACCCAACATTTTGCGTTGGTATGGAAAGGCTAAAGCATGGCTTTTCAGGAAATGCTTGCCTTACTTTTTCATCACGAAGGTAGGGTTCACGAAGTTGAGAACCTGGACAATATTTTTTCATTTGGCAGCATTACAAAGGCTCAGGCCCTTCCGGGAAAGCGGGACAAAAAGGTCGCCCACTGACCCTACAGGCTACATGACATATAGGACCTTGCAAACCAAACACCACTTCTTAATTTTCAATCCGGTAAATTGAGAAGGATATGTACCTAGTATGTACGCTAGTTTAAACAAACCCAGAAAAAGAAGAATTGACCTTAAAAAATACGTTTTAGGCCAGGGTATAGGTACCCAAGGTAGGTATACCATATACCTAAACCAAAGGACTTCCTGCGAAAGAAATGGACAATGGTGTTGCTTGGGTTTCTATCAGCCGGGCAGTTGCGCCTATAGCCCTATAGTTATAGCTTGGTTAGGTATAGTATCAAGGATTTAACAAAATTACCTACTACCTATCTAGCATCTGATTCATGTATTGCTAATTGCGGACTGCGGACTGCGGAGTCGATGAATTTTCGGTGAATCCGACTTCAACTCCGGTACAGGATTCCAAAATCGACCCCGACTCCGACCCCGCAGCCCTGTCTCAAACAGATGAAATTTGAAAACATTAAGTTGACACTTGGGCTTGACCCCTCAATGTCACCGAATGCCAAAGTCCGAAGTCACCCATGAGGTCACCATATTCAAGACGGCTAGCGACGAATGGAATGATGACGTTTTCTCGTTTTGATCGGCCCGTGCAGTGGCTACTGAGCCGTATAGCATGACCGAACGAAAAAGGCGAAAACGGAAAATTTCTGTTCGTCAAGCTCACCAGAGCCGAGGTCATCAAGTTCAGAATAACCGATAAAATTTCATATGACAACTGAAAAAATATTCTTGAGCATTTCGTTTCGTTCGCAGATGCAGTGCGTGCTGGGGGACGGCTGTATGGTGAGCAGCGGAATAGTGTTTTTCAAAAATAGCAGTGTTTTAGATGAAATCACAAAGTTCCTTTTCTGGCGCGTTTGTTTCAAAAACCGCGCCCAAATATTCACACGCGCATTCTCTCCAGTGTGAGTGGTTGGTGAGTGGCAATATCAATATTCACGCTCCAAGAAATCGAAAGGTACGGTTTGAAGTTAATAATTTATGATATAACCTGAAACTGAATCTACAAACTAATAATTTATCCATTGCTTTATATTATTGTAGTTATAGGGTCTTTCGTAGGCTCTTAGTTGCAGTATCCTTGGTATCCTTGAATTGGAATCCGAGATCTTGATCTTTTCAATTTCAGTCGGGGGAGGTTTGGTTCTGGTTCGGTCAATCGTTTTTTTAGCAAGTGCTATTTTTGTCACACGTGCCGAAAATGGCAACGATTCTGCTATTTTTGACAACGATGACGCCGATTTCACTCCTCAGCGAGGAAATCGCGATTTTGGAAAGATGAGCACTGATTTTCGAAAAGAAGTGCTGCCACCTGGTGCAAGGAATAATTTTTACCATCCATAGTTTCTTTGGCATAGCTCTGGTAGACTTTTTGGAGCTTTACAGCTTATCCCCTTGTCAGTAGAATTATATAGTGCCATCAACAAAGAATGAAGTATTTGACACGGTAATATTACAGGACATGGCAGACCCACGTGTACGCACATTGAAAATCAAGACGGGCATTGTCAAACGGTTGACAAAAGAAAAAATATCATATGAGGTAGAGTCTGAACAGCAGAAGAAACGAATTGAGCGCATGAAAACTGAAGGTAGGTCAACCTGTACCTCTCCTCACCCTTGTCATACCTATATCTTGTCCATCTTGACTGGTAAACCGAGGCTTACACTTACCACAATTTTCCATAATTGGTAATATGCATTTTGCAAACACACTGAAAAATGAATGAGCCATGCTCCTTAAATGGAATTTGATCATACCAATTTGAAGCATATTACGTACCTACTACATAGAGAGCAGTTCATTAGAAAAGCTTTTCAAGGTGAGCTTCAAGCTATGGCAAGCAGGGCTGCGGAGTCGATGGATTTTCGGCGACTCCGACTCCGACTCCGACTCCGGCTTTCAAAAACCAGCTCCGACTCCGACTCCGACTCCGGGCAGAATTGTCGACTCCGACCGACTCCAACTCCCGACTCCGACTCCGCAGACCTAGCAGGGCTGCGGAGTCGACAGATTTTCGGTGACTCCGACTCCGACTCAGGCTCGGGTTTCTAAAATCGACTCCGACTCCGACTCCGACTCCGACTCCGGTCACAACTGTCGACTCCGACCGACTCCGACTCCGACTCCGACTTCGACTCCGCAGCCCTGATGGCAAGCACCATTAAACCAATAATTTTGTTCCTTTTATCCTAGGCAGATAAGTCCCATTGAATTGCATCATCTTCCCTGACCTCAGAACATGTTTGCAGGCAAGGATGACTATGACATCAAGAAGCAGGAGGAAGTGCTCCAGGAATCAATGATGATGGTGCCTGACTGTCAGAAGAAGCTGGCGCCCGCTGTCACTGAACTTCAGGTGAGGTGACTATTTTTATGCGTCCACTAAGCCTGAAGCTCGTTTTCAGTACGTCAATAGCTTGTGTTGTCTAATGTGCTTTGCTACCTTCTCGTCAAAAATAGGAATGGAATTTGTGTTGCTGTTGATAGTTTTGGATGCACTTGGCAAAACGTACCTTCATAGGATTCGCCTATTTACAATGCATGATCGTATAATGTTTATATTATTCTTCTGCATTTAGCCGAAATGTTCGTCGTTTAGTTTCCATCATTTTCCGGTAGTGGAATTTTCGTTACTTTCACGAGTTGTTTTGCCTATGTTGTGTAGCATTCCACAGTCAACAATTGACCGTTCTTTCGAATGCTGTTGGCAGAAAATTCTGGACGAGGAGGGCGACATGGTAGAACTGGAGGAGTACCAGCAGGCTGTGACCATTGTCGAGGACGCCAAGAAACATCTGGCCGTGTAGGGCGTTCGGCCCGCCGCCCAGTGCCTTGTGCGTTCACCTCTTGCTACACTCGTCATTCCGAAATAATCGTCGTTAATTTAAGTGATTTGGTGTGTGAGTTGTCGATAGTTTAGTGACTAAGTCGTCTGATTTCTCGCGCACTAACGAGGTTCGAGTCATGTGGCATCCGAGGCCACCTCCGCGGCCACCCGGTGGATACTCTGTGCCATCTAGTGGTGTGTTTAACACTCAAAACTTCAGCCGTCCGCCGCCGGGACTGGCCGGTCCGCCCCGACCGCCCGGGCCCGGACGCGGGCCGTCGGTACCTCCCGGTGTTGGGCCCGCGCCCAGTTTTCGACCGTCATTCCCTCCCCCGCCTTCAATGCCGGCCGCGGCAGGCTCCGGCCCTGTTCCATTCGGAGCTCCGCCGGACCGGTCCATTCCTCCGCCGGACCGGTCTTTGCCTCCGCTTGACCGGTCCATCCCTCCGCTGGGCCGGTCCATGCCTCCGCCGGGCCGGTCTTTGCCCCCGCCGGACCGGTCAATGCCTCCGGCGGGGTTTGGAGCCGGAGAGCCGCGCCCGCCGCGACACCCCACAGCTGCCCCGCCGCCCGGTGTCGGCAGACGGCCGGTTCCATCCATACCGCCCCGCCCTGGTCTGTTGGCGCCACCCGGCCGCCAACAGACGCCACCCGGCCGCCAACAGACGCCACCCGGCCGCCAACAGCCTCCCCCGGCCGTGGGAGGTCCACCGCAGATGACCGCCTCACCGCCCGGTCTGCCGGCGGCGGCACACGGGCCCGTCCCCTCCCCGGCCCCCACTGGCAGCGGGACGGTGGGGGAGTGTAGGACACAGGCTGTTAGTAGCCGTGGAGCGGTGAATTCTGCTACGGAACGCTGGCTGGCGGCCTGGGCCGAGCGGAGCGGTGTCGCGGCTAGATGCTCTGAGGAGGCAGCGAAAAAGAAGACATCGAAAACGGTAAACGTGAGTTCAGTCATTCTCTTCAGTCATCGTGAGTCAATCATTTTCTATTGTGTAGTTATTTATATTGGCGAGGAATTTCTTTTTTTGCCGTCATTGCATTTTGCTCATCTGGACGTCTTTGTTCGTTTGTCGTCCTTTCGTTGTTCTTTTTATGATGTAACGATAACGAAGTACCTACTCGGCGCATTCTACCTGCTTTTCTCCGGTTGTTGGTCGGTATTCTTGTCCTTTTCGACCAAATATTCCTTGCACTGGTAGAATCCTGACCTAACTACTCGTTTCTGCTCCCACAGTTGAGCAGCCTCCAGGCACTGTCTGAGGCAGAGCTGGCGCACCCAGAGACGGCGGCACAGCTGCGGCGATTGGTGGCGCAGCGGCGCCGCCGACGGTTGGCTGATCGCAGGCGGTGGCAGGCGGAGCGGCAGCGACTGCAGAGGAAGCACGCTGATATCGACGCCTGGCAGGCGGCCATCCAGCGGCGAGCCGCCCGTGAAAAGGAGGTACGGTACGGTGGAGTGGAGGGGTTGGTCCACGTCTTGCGACGTGGGTGGGATGCTACTCGAAATAGTCATTGAACGTTAGTAAAAAATAGAGCAGCTCCTTCGGTGTTTTGTTCCTGCTGTTCTTACAAAAGCTGTTATGATTCAAGGGAGGGCGTAATATTGCTGTTTTATTGCAATTGTTAAGAGACGAAGCACCACTAGCACGATGAGACCGGGTCTTCCAGAAAATAATCAGCAGTTTACCCAGCCCATTCTATCCTCAATATCTAATTTGTAAAGGTATTTTCATTGCTTTCTGTCGTTTTTCCAACAGGAGGAGGAGATGAAACGGGAGGCGGACAAGGTTCTGGCCGAGGTGCGCAGGAAAATCAGCGACGTCGAAAAACAACTCGAGGTGAGAAGTGTTGATTTGTCAGATGTGTACTGTGACCCCACACTGTTTACTGACGCTCACTAAAAAACGGCTTATGCTCGGTTGAGAAATAAGGTTATTGGTGTTTAGATTTACGGAAAACGATGGCTATGTAATGAGACGAAGACTTTTCCACCTAATTAAGGCTGTTCAGTAATTCCTTAAAGGAAGACTGCCACCTTCAAAAATTTTTCTCAGATCGGCCTATGATTTATTCCCTGGACAAAACAAAATTTTATAATTCACCTGACAAAGTATCATCACGTGAATCGCGAAAAAAATTGTCGATTATCATACAATTATCAATCGGTTAATGTCTAGCGACAATGTTTACACATCACTAGACTTCAAGGTCATAAGATTATTACATTTTATTTGAAAAAGTAAGGTATTTTATGATTTACTAATATATGATTTCATAAGAAATTGGCCATGTTTAATTTATTTTGCATTTAAGTTCGTAAAACATTTAAAAATCATGGCTCATTTGGAATGGGTCTGGCCCATGTTAAACCCCATTTCCCACACTTTTTTGGAAAAAATGAACTACTGAATATATAAGTTTAACTTTTATTTTGACACTCCAAAATTCTTCTCTGATCTCGAAACAATCAAAGTTTTGACATATATTTACCAAAAGATAAGAAAATTCATGTTTCAAAGCTATCGATAAACAGTAGAGATGTCGGTTTTCTTGGACTAAAAAAATGGCATCAAACTGAACTTTGGTCTCCGATTTCTCGCAAACGGGTTCGAATTTCGGAAAACCGACTTCAGTCTGGGACATAGGTGGCTCAGCTCTAGTGAAAACCGTTTTGTGGAAAAAAGGTGGCAGTCTACCTTTAACGGTAGTATGCGTTCCGTTTCTTTCGCTTTCAGCTTGCATGCTCCCGATGATGTGACACGTACTCTCACTGCTCATTGATCCTATATTTGACCACCCACGACCGCCGCCTCCACAGACGCTGGACGAGCTGCGCACTCTGCGAGAGGTGCGGGACCTGAAGGCGCGCGCGGCGGGCCTGTTCAGCAGCGCCGCCTCCGACCAGCGGTTCGCAGAGGTGACGGCTCGTCTGACAGACCTGCTGGATCGCCACCTACAGACCTACGAGACAGAGCTGCGCGCGCTGCAGGCCATGACGGCCGGCCCGCGGCCGCCGCCGCCTCCGCCACCGGCCGCCGGCGGTCCGCTGTCGGTCCTCAGGGCGCTGTTCGGAGCGGCTGGTGTGAGTCCGGCCGCCGCTGCCGCCGCCGCCGGCGGGGGGTGCCAGTCGGGGGAGGCCGACCACCGGGTGCACATGGTCGACTGGGAGGCCGACCCGCAGACGCTGCTTTATATCAGGTGGGTCGGGTGAATGTGGAATGTTGAACATGATTGCTAGACCAAGACATGGCCCGGATAAGCAATACGCCATTGATCTGCCATTATGTGAGTTATGATGGAATGCTGAATGGAGATATAATTTGCAAGAGTCGTTTATTTGTCAATCGCACAGCTCTTCTCAATGCATAGGCTCGTTATGTCGGACGATTTATAATATCACATTACACCCTGTCGCTTTTGTACCTTCTCTCATTATTGTTTGGCTCGTCTGCAGGTCTGACTGGGACCGGTACCTGGTGGGGCCGGAGGACCCGCTCGGCTCGGCTGTGCCCCCCGCCTGGGTGACGCCGGCACCGCCCGGCAGCGACATCTGGGCCGGCTGCCTCGCTGCGTGACGAACTGAACCGTCCTACCGCCGCCACAGTCATCGCGTTTTGTCTCAGACTCCGCAGGCTACCGCACCTCCTCGCCTGTCGCCGATTCCTTCGAGTCTGCCATCACCACCGACGGTATCGCAACCACCAGCGTTACTGTCGCCGGGACGGTCTCTCGCCATCTCCTCTCCCTGCGTAGATATTGGCTGCGGCTTGTCAGAACAGCCGATTATCACAACTGTTTTCGATTAATTGCAAATAAGACACATTTCTTGACAACACTGTTACGACGATACTTACATTTGGTTAGGCATGGGCTGTGTATGCATCATTGTTCATTTGCGACGGTCGATGATAATAAAATGTTCTTTAACACATGACGGTTATTTTGTACTCTCATATACCGACAATTGCAGCGTCATCACAACCCGCATACGTCATCGTGAAAAAATCCACGAACCGAGGTCATTAAACCCCATAAACTCGTACCAAATCTGAGCACAAAGTACAGCCCTACTCGAGCTGCTCGAATAAACTACAAGTATGCATGATCCTGGTGCTTCAGCAGCACACGTAGCTCTCGGCCAGTGCAACTGCGTTTCGGAGTTGCCTATAGGCTACCCGCTGCTTTCACAAGCACAGGCGTTAACTTGGGTCGGCAGGGGATCTGCACCCTAACCAGCTGCCTGAGGTCCGGCTTCCTTATGCTTGTCTCCACGCCACACTGCTCTCTCTCTGCAGGCGAACCCATTTCACATCGAGAATCCAACCAATCTTCGTGTGTACTGTCTCCCAGTCTGCCCTCGACTCCCTCCACTGCAGCAGGGTTACCCAGAGCTTCCTGCTGGACATAGCCATCTAGAGGACTCCAATGGACTGCCTACTTGTACGCCGTGCGCTGATTGGTGGGATTACTGCAGTTGTTGTATAGAATGCTCACGATGCTGACAGCGCTAGCGAAGGTGTCTCGACTTTTCGTAATGTGAAAAGCCCGGAGCGCACCCCCTGCTGCTCCAGGGACAGCTGTAGTGAAGCGTCATCTATAATTTACCTACTTTCAGATTTTGTTCATAGGTGTCGCTTTTGTAGCATCGATGGCCGTAAGCCAGTGCAGTCTTGGTGCGGCCAGTGACTCCAGTAGTAGAGGTGTTCTAAGTCGACCCGCCAGCCCGCAATGCGCGAGTACACAAAACCCACATGGGTTGGACTTGGTTTGGAGCGAGCCGCCCCCAATAATTTCGCTTCCGTAGTGCCACCAAGGCTCCACCAAAAGTCCTTGGTGTCACGCTATAGGTCTCATCCATGCTACAGGTAATAGGCATGTACGCGGTACGGTGCATTTTTTGTCTAACTTCCAATCCTGATAATGTAGCACTACCGGTATCCGGTACCAAACACATGCTACATCAAAAATGCACTCCCAAAGCGCTCAAAAGTCTAACATGCGACCTATAATTTGAGCGCTCTATAGTAATCTTCCGCGATTACTCGTGAACTTCTGCTTGGTCGACTTCGAGGGCATCGAGGGCACGTCTGTGACGTCATTGAAAGTAGTACTTAATTCTGTGCAATTGTTTTGCTAGGTGCCACATTTACAGCGGAAACAGTTTGTATTTTCAATAACAAAAACAAAAAAGCATTCCATTTTACCCATACGTTGCAAACTAGCTGCTTATATTTATAAAAAGGAATGACAAGATGCGGCGATCATATGCCCTTTTTGCCCGCAGCACAGCTTGGAATTATTTTGGAGGTGAACGGGGAGGGGATGGCGGGCAAGTACGCGAGGCCTTGGTGGAGTGAGGGAGGGTAAAGCTGTGAGTGGAGTGGAGAGTGTGCAAGTCCAGGCGTTTCAGTGGTGCAATTTCTTGCGATGGTGTGTTAATACTGATCGGGGAACATATGTGATGCTGTGAAGCCCTTTGTAAACTTGATGGAAAGAGAGAACGCCGTCGCAACATGGCTGCGACTCAGGCTCAAACTGACGGTCCACCACAAATCCACGCAAATTCAAACAATGTAAGCGAAAAAGAAGCTGCTGTGGCAGCGTTCACGAATGGTAGTGATGATTCTGGGATGGGCTCATCGTCGAATGAGAGCTTCACACCCGGTAAATCGATCACGCCCCCTTCAAACCCAATCTCCACAGTTCCTCTGCCTGGAATGGTGAGTTTCAGCAGAAGTTTCCATGTTGATGTGTTAGGGGCTAATGGGTCAGTATTGACGCGTTTGCCTCTACTTTTTACATTCACCTCCAATTTTCTTATCATTTTATCAGTGTGGTTTTTAAAATACTGATTGCTTCTGATAGGTTTTCCGTAGGTGCCTTAGGGCTAGGCCTTGGGCTAGGCCAATCTGTTCCGCTGCTGTTACGTCTACATTAGTGGGAATGCCAGTATCAGTTTGGGTTTGTTTGTGGTGACAATTATATATTGATGCTGTAATTTTTTAAGTTATTCTGATACGGGTTCTGTTGTAATGTGAATGAGAATTGAGAGAATTGGTCTATTGCTATTTACCATTAGTGTGACAACTCCGGTTTAGGTTTATTCACAATCTTCGGTCTGGCTTTGCTGTTCACTAAATTTCCTGTGGATGCTTGCCAGTCATATTTGAAAGTCATGATTGCTAAGAAGTTAACGTAGCTCAAGCTGCTAGCACATCTTCATTTAATTTTTAAGTATTTTTTACAAGCTTCATACCTATGCAGATGAGACTGTAGTACCAATGTATTTGACCTAAAGGGAATGCTGATTGTTGATTATTAAAATGCTTGTGTTTCTTTTTTGGAATGTGGAGGGCATTTCATTACTGCTATGTCCTGTGTAGGTTATCATGTGTAGCTTTTTTATTAGGTAACAAAAAAACAGGTTATTCAGAGCAGGGTTGCCTTTGCTCTGATTTGACAATGGACTAACCAACATTACTACCACAGGTAGTTGCTCTTCTGACCCTGCCTGTCTGTTGAACAGGTGGGCCAGCGTCCGCCCTTCATGTCTGCGGGCTACCCGGCGCTGGTGCAGCACCACCCCGGCTACGGACCGGCGCCGCACCACTACCCGATGGCGGCTGCCGGCCGGCCCAACCACCTCTACCCACCGCAGGTCAGTCGCGGAGGAACCGGAGCGGTGCCACTGGGGCTGAACTCACCGCTGGGTGTGAGCCACCAAACTCACTGCTGGGTGAGATGCTGCAGCTGAACTGCTGCTGAGTGAGATGCCAAACCCACTGCTAACTGAGCCATTGAATTCACTGCTGGCTGAGATGCCAAACTTACCATTAACTGAACCGCGAAACTTGGAGGTGGAACAGCTGAACTCGTTGCAAATGAACTGCCATAATCGCTGTTCATTGTACCCATGAACTGATAACTAACTGAACAGCTGAATCTGGGTGAGTCACCAAACAGCTGTTGCGATTCTCAGTATATCGCCCTGATCAAGGGGTTGTGGTACTGCAGTCACGACTGGTGTTGTGCTGGGACTGTTGACCGTCCCGATTTTGGCATTTGAAGAAACCGCTGAGTAGACGCGCCACGCGGTCCCATGTGTTTGGTCACAAGGCGTCACAAAAACCCGCTGATCGGTACCCCGATCCGATGTGGGACTCGTCCGTAGAGAAGCCAAGTTTTAGGAAAATATTGCTAGGCCCTGAAGCTTTTTGTTGGGATACATAACTCCCTGAGTCGTCCAGGTCATGTGCCGGGAGAGTGGCTGTTGTCCTGATCCTCAGTCCCCTGAGTCATGTCCCACCATCAGGGAACGGGAGGTGACCGTGGTATACCGTAGAAGACTGATACTCGTAATTGTGGCAAATATCCTGGTGAGGTCTGGTGGGCTAAAAGGATTATTGTCCTGTGTAAAGCTAAACGATCGGCGGTTTCCAAAGTTTGCTCTTTTGGCATGATGTGTCGAATTGCTGGCTATACTCGCCACGGGCAGTTCGCTTCATTCATTACGTACTCCAGAGAAGTGTAGCCTTTTTGTTGTGTAGATACGGCTCTCGCAAGACTAAGCGGTAGATTTTGCACTTTTACATTTCCGGTTATATCTCAGAAACTAATCGATCTACGATGAAGCCATTTTACACGATCATGGCCGGCTTGTTACCCAACAAGTCGATCGCATCTTCAACACTTAAAAGCTTAGGACGACAGAGATAAAGCCTGAAGTACACTAAATATTCTAGGTGCAAAACCTACCGCTAAAACCCGCGAGACCTGACAGAGGTATAGCCTGAAGTACACTAAATTTTCTAGGTGCAAAACCCACCGCTAAAACCCGCGAGACCTGTACGTTCAATTCGTCTAGATGACATGAGCAAATCAGTAGTGACGAAAGGAGTCACCGGGCGTCAGCTCGATCTTGCAGCAACTGTGTTGCAACATTTGCATTTCGCGTTTTGTTTTCTTTTATCAATGTATTTTTTTGCCCATCCTGATTGTGTGCATGGCATGATAGCTGGACCTAGGTCAAGTAGTAAATCCGTATGAACCAGCCAACACGAAGCGTAAACCGCTTTGTAAAAGATGGAAAAGTTTGTAAGTAGCATTGTCATGATAGGATTACGCTGTAACATTCGGTTGTGTTCTCGTGTCTATTTTCTTTCATCAACAGAACGAGATCATGAAATAATCGTGAAAATATTTTGCAAACAAACTCATCGTACAATATTCGGTGTTGAGTAACTGCGCTTTGTTTGTGAATCGTTCTGCTATAGTTTCTTAAATCGAGAGGCGAGTGAAACGCTCTAATGGAACATATCATCGCAATATATAAATGGAATGCTCTCCTGGAACCTATAAAAAGACCGTTTGCACCAACACAATCAGATTGATTTCTGTTAAAGGTATTGTTTACCAATCGCATTATACAGCAGCATTGTGAGTAATTCAGGACTTCTATGAATGAACGGGACCGCTGTTGTGTAGACCGATCGAAGGTGATCAATGTTTCCGTGAGTGATACAGGGTGGATTACTGCTGACGCGTTCAAATTCCAGAAATAGCCACACTCGATACCACGATCTCCGGGTTTCTTTTCAGCGCAAAACCGATCGAGTGAAATCATTCGACTTGAGTTACAGTTCACATCGAATTGACGGTACCTAGGTAAATCCTGCAAAAGCTCAAGTAATCAGCGTGCTCTAATTGATGTTTGCCGACGTTCTCGCTGAATTTAATCTGCACTCGAACGAGGGGCTCTCGTGAATGGGTGCCATTATCGATCTGCCTTATTTGCAGACGCGTAGGTCCCTACTGAATGTGTGCAGATCGGTGTGTGTATGTGTGTGGGGGAGGGGCAGCCGAACTGAGTGGGCTGGGCCCGCAGTGTGCGCCCGTGTTGACATCCGACTCCAGCCCGCCCTGTGTGGGGTCAGTCCGTCTGTGTGGTACAGTCGTAATGAGCCCTGACCGATCGCCGACTGTGGGCGTAACTCATTATCCCGTGTCCCGTTGCCCGGTGGCAGCATTATCCTCGGCTATTTACGCTCGTTTTATACACCTGTCGCGCGGTGGGTGGTCAGAGCACCCTCCATCCTTCCCTCCCGTCCCCTCCCCGGGCCGGGACCGATCGGTCACCGGGTGAACAGGAGGCGTGATGGGTGATTAGCGCCCATACAGGAGCGGCTGTCGGCGCTGAGCAGACGGCACCGAGGCTGACGTGTGACCCGGTCGCCGTTCCAGGCGTACGGACCGGCGCGGGGCTATCCAGGCGCCCAGTGGGACCCGCAGCACCATCCGCAGCAGCATCCGCAGCAGCACCAGCACCCGCAGCAGCCGCCGCCGACGGCGCCCCAGCAGGCGGCGCCGCCCGGCCAGCAGTCCCCGCAGCAGCCGCCGCCCTCATCGACGCCGTCCCAGCCGTCACCGGCGGGCGGGTACCCGTCGGCGCCCGGCCGGCCCCAGCAGCCGCCGACACCCACCCGGCCGGCGTCCGTCAGCTCGGTGAGTACCAGTACACCAGTACACCAGTACCAGTACCAATATCAGTGTCACTACCAATACCAGCACGAACACCGCACCCCCGTCCGTCCGTCGGTCCGTGCGGTCCAGGAGCCGTGACTCATTGGTGCAGTGGTGCTCGCAGCCGCGCCAGTGCCTGCCTGGCACCTGCAGCGAACGCTCAGCCACGTGGGAGGGACCAGGAGGGACGGGGTTCGCAGCCGATAGCACTGTCAGGCTGCCCGCGAACACACTGCCGTGCCAGGACGGGATTTGCAGGCTTGTGGCCGTGTGCTGGCGAGGACGATTGTGGATTTGAGAGCCGGTGGAAGGTCACGCAACTGACCGCTGAGTCGGGCGGACCCCGGCGGGCCCCTCGCGCCACGCGGGGCACCTCTGACTCACACGGAGAGGGGAGGGGCTGCTCTGTAGTACGCGCCGTGCACGCGGCAGTGGGGCGGGGTGAGGGAGTGGGTGATAGAGCGGCTCGGCTGACTGGTCGTGCCCGGCGTCTCATTCAAATCACGTGTCACCGTCGCGGCGGAGACGGCGGTGGGTCGGCCTCGTCGCCGCCAGTCGTGAGTGGGCAGCGGAGCGGCGTGCACGTGCGCTCTGTCCGTGACCCCGGCGATGGAGGAAGGGGGTGGCGGCGAGTTACTGATGACACGCAGCCGTCAGGCCACCGGGCGCCGAGTCGCCGACCTCTGCCCCGTCCCAGGGAGGGGAGGGGCGACCGCTAACGGTCGGCGCGCCACGCTGAAATCAATGCCACTGTCACCCGCCACAGCCACGCCGTCTGCGTAGGAATTTCCCCGCCCCCGCCCCCGCCCCCGCCCCCGCCCCCGCCCCGCGACTCCCAGTGGGGAGGGGCGGCCACGGTCAAGGCTGGCGCGCACACCGCTCTGTTGTGAACCCGGGAAATGGAGCAGCGGCTCGGCTATTAATAGCGCCGACAGACTTCAATGAGCAGCCGGTCTTCTGGCGGGAACGGGGAGGGGCTTCCGGATGGCGGACAGGCAGACGCCGTGGGATGGTGGATGCGGATTTGCTGGACAGTGAGATGATACTGCCCACTACGACGTTAATTGGTGTAGTTTTTATTATATCGAATGGTTCGTAATAGCTGAGCCGTGGTGTTTTGAGCGGCTGTGTCGTCGATTCAGCGTGTCTCAGTCATCTGTCCCTTGTGTCCGGAGACGGAGACGGCCGAGAGATGATTGCCGGTGTCTCCCCAGTGACCGCCTGCTATAAACGAGCCACCGACCCTGTCCGGCCCTGAACCGGTGCGGACCCCGCCGCCAATTGTGCTGGCCGTTTTATATGGCGTCGTCTGCCGCGGTGCGATCCTTGGCCGGCTCTGACGGCCTTCCGCGGCACGGCGCCGCTCCCGGAATACGGGACCGCTCATTACCGATTGTAGCGCGCGGCCAGCGCGGCTCCATTGACTGTCGGCGCCCGTGTGACGTGTTATTTACGGTGCCGGCCACCCTTGACCCTGACTATGAATGGCACGCGCCGCGGCCGACCAGCTGAGAGCGCCGCCCGTCTCGGCGGCGATAATTGTCGGTCGTTGACGCTCAATGGGCGGCGCCTGACGGCCGTTACGGGACCGCTCGGGGTGCGAAATGGGCCACGGTGGCGCGGCACCCCGCTGGCTGCTACCCCTCTCCTCCCCTCTCCTCTCTCCTCCCCTCCCTCTCTCCATCCCCGGTGGGACGGAAGTGGCTGGTTGTGTCGGGTATTGTGGACGAACGGAGCGGCCGACCACTCTGTGAAATGGCCCGGCTGGGACGGCCCGACCCGGCCGGCAGGGATGGATCTACTCTGCCACAGGCGAGCTGAGTGCCCGCCCTGACCCGGTCACTGACTGAGAGGTTGTGCCGTCGGATCCCGGGAATCGACACCGAATTCCACGGCACTTTGAGGTGGCGAGCACTCGTTCTCCGCGACCTGCCTTAGTAGCCGTGAGAATGAGAGGCACGGTTCCTGGATGCCATGAGTTGCGCCAGGGGAAAAGTTCGGTGATGCTGTGGCGTGCGCTTTGCTTGAAAGGCGGCACGGAGTGAATGGATACTAGGATACTAAAGGCAGCGGCGCCAATGCCACGGAAATGCTGACGGGAATGCTCAAAACATCAGCCACGTGGCATGTTCCTAGTATGCTACGGTAGATACTACGGTTGTAGCATGCTTGTTCTGTGATAAATGATTCATATTCGCTGAAACCAAGGCGGCAAATGCCGCTTGTTTCTTTCAGCCCTAGATAACAATCGTCTTGGACGGTTTTAGAGTAGAGCAGGCAAATCGAGGAAGTACAGGCAGACAGCGTAGCGTCTTGCACTACGGCGAAGCCCTGTAGGCCGTAAGGATTAGAGCACGTAATCGGCTGCTTGTTTCCCCACTATTGTTATCTAATCCCAGATTTTTCCCTCAGCTGTTTACAATGCGGTAGCACGAATGCCTGTTGCGTCACCATTGAACCGACATCTGTTGACACAGTCAATAGTCGTACCATGCCACGTGAGAGTCTGAGCTGCTTTTTGTTGTCCTCTGTTGTTTTTGTTGGGTGCCATTGTCACCAAACTAAGACATTGGTTGCTGACAGCCTCGGAGTAGATGTCTGACTCTGTCACATTCCTGGGCTACTCTCTGTGTTCGTTTTTTTTTTTTTGGCCCTGTCTTGATGTCTCAAGTGCTGGGTTGTGTTGGGCCTCCACCCTCCAGTCCCCGGCGGGCGCCCTCATGTGCCGTGACCTCTCTGGGCCACTGCGCAGCGGGGCGCCGCACCTGGCGCCGCTGCAGCCTGGCGTGGCCGGCCCGTGCTGCGGCGGCAGCAGCCGAGCGTGCCCCGCTGCCGACCTGGCACTCGGCTACCCTCCCCGGGCGCCGGCCGGCGGCTCATTTCCGCTTCCCGCCGGGCACAGCCGGCAGACGGCCGCGCCGTGCCGCCGCTGCTGTCTATTCGCGGCAGACTCGGCGGGGGACCGGTCTATGGGGGCACCGGCACTGGGGCGGGCGGCCTAGCTAACGCCACACGCGAGGGTCTTCTCTCCCGGTTACCGGGTGGAGTTGGAGCCAAACCTCCCCGTCCTTCAGAAGCGGCGGGTATTTACCGTCAATCATACGAGGACGCTCAGTTGGCATGGTGTCGTTCTTTGTTGTACTCGGTGTCGAGGCTGACTGAACTTGAGGCAATGGAGTATGAACGACTGTTGAACTCGTTTTGCATTCCAATGATGTCAACTAATACTGCATTGGCTTCTTTGTTTCGTTTTGTTACTTCTCAGTAAGGATTCACTGCTGGCGTATTATTTCTGCAACCTAATAAAAATCTCATATTTTGGTACTAGCGATTAATTGCTCGACTACGTCTGACGAGAAGATAGCATTACCGATTGCTGCGGCCGGGGCCTGTTTTCGATGGCGCAGTTCTCTGAGTGTGACGTCACCAATGCTCGGCGCTGCCGCTGGCAATAAATCATCGCCGGTCTCCGTCCCACGCAAACTGGCAAACAGCGGGCCATAGCGGCTGATATATGGCCGTCAACTGCCGCCCTGGAGGCAACACAACACGGTCGAGCTGAAATGTGGCGCCGGATGCGAATTTCACCGCTGAGCGGGCACTATTTGACCTAAAGATAACCCACCGTCATTTTCGACCACTGCGGAATTCAATGTCAGCGAATATTGCCGGGGCGTGCTGACATTGCATGCCGGTCAACGACTTGTTCGTCCTGGTCCGGCGCTAATCTGCATTTACTTTCGTTTTCATTGTTAACTGCCGTGTAGCTGTTCTCAGCTGGTAAACGGATTGAGGCCATCACCGGGTGGCGGTCGATAAGATCTGGCGGTAGGTCATCACGGCGGGCCGAGGCGGTGATCTCGTCTGAATGATTCGGCTCGGTGTCCGCGCGCGCTGCAGCCGGGCTGCAAACCACGCAGCCGCCCCGCCCCGCCCTGCCGCGCTATGCAAACGACCGGCGCCCGCAGCTCCGGGAGTGCGGGGGACGGGCGCAGTGGGCCGCCGACACAGGTGTGTCCCCGCCCCGGGTGACGTCCGGCTGTATGCGGCCGCGTGTGTTTGTGACGGGCGTCGTGCTGACGTTCTGTGCCGGCCGCAGCCGTGCGCCACACGCGGTTGGCGGCGGCTGGGCCCGTCCGGCCGGCCGACCGACCGGCTGGCGGACTGGGTATTTCTGAACCGGCGCCGTCGGCAGCACAGCGGCGGCGAGCGCTGCGGGCCGGGCGGCTGGCTGTGCCGCGCACGGCCGGCGCCGCCAGCCACCGCCGCGCCAGGCCGGCCCGCTCGGCGGTTGCCTCACCCGCCTTTGTTCCGTGACAGCTCTCTCTCTCCCTCTCTCCCTCTCGCTGGGCGCCGCTCTGGCCCTCTGTCCGGCCGCCCTCTCCAGGCGGCTGCCGCCGACCGGCCGAGCGGGCGGCGTTCACCGGCGCCGCGGAGCTCGGGGGTCGATCCGGGCGCTCGGGCGGGCGGCCCTACCTGGCTGCAGGGCCGTGGGTCGGCCGCAGCTGGCGCCGGATACCGCCCACTCGCCGCCGCGGCCCCTCCCCCGCCCCCTATCTGATGTTGGAACTTAGCCGGCCGATAGAGCTGCCCGGCCGCCGGCGTCAAACTTTGCTGTTTGCGTGGATGATGCTCGCATGTTGATTGCATATTTATGAAGCTGCGTCATAAATGACAACTTGGGATTCGATGCCGCACTCACATTTTTACCCTAAGACTTGCGATGACTTAAAATTGCTTTATTTTCTACGTTTTATTCTAGAAAATTTTAGTTTCGCTCAAAATTAGTCGAGGAGATGCTTTATCATTTTTTTTTTGACATTCGGAGGACATTTGCACGAGGTTCGTGTCATGATGGATGGCGATGGACATTTGAATATCAACGGTGGTGTCATTGAAGGAGCGTCCCCACCTCGCTACTCCCAACTTTTGCTCTCCCTTTCAATCTATTATTTGTGCTTGTGCATTATTTCCCACTTTTA